CACGGTAGATTAAGGGCCAGCCCCGCCCAAAAAGGTGAGGATAGCCGCCCTTTGCATTCTTCACATTTCGGGAAGACCACTTCAATACCAGGCATGGTGACTCGAATTGAGCCACCGCCACATGGCTAGGAACGCAGCCGCGACCGGGACCGCCGCCGCCGCAGCGGGGACCGCCGCAGCCGCGACCGCCGCCGCCGCAGCCGGCGGGGGGCCGCAGTATTAACTCACGGCGAGTCGGGTGTCGCTTTTCGGGGGGAACCCCTGAGATGGGATCCGTGTTTTTCTTCTTCTTTTTCCTAGGGCTGTTCCTTTTTTTTGTTTCACTAGGGCTGGTCCCCTGGTCCCCTGGTTGGTTGGTTGGTTGGTTGGTTGGTTGGTTGGTTGGTTGGTTGGTTGGTTGGTTGCCCCCTAAGAAGGTGGGCGTCCTTCTGGTGTTCGTTTACATACCAAGAAGGGATCCACCGCTTTGAGAAACTGAGTGCTTCTTGGGGAAGGCAGCAACATGAGCTCTAAGTGTCTCAGAGCAGATGGGTTGGGGGCCTGACTTGCAAGTTCATTTGGCCTTCACTTGAAATGCACAGCCATTTTGCGCACTGACCGCTGCCGGTCATTGGGGAGAGGTCAAATTCACGGTCGTCAGCCCCAGAAACAAATGACGCTTCGCATACAGTCCTAAGAAGTAATCAACTTGATATGAGCAGCTGTTTGAGCAGAAAAGGATGTCCCCGAGACCTCGTGCCTGTTTTGCTGGGTATGGTCTTGAATCTTCCACCGCGCTGATTGGAAGGCATATTGCGATGAGGTGGCCATCCACGTGGCGAATGTTTGAGAGTCGATGGAGGTTCTCAGGCCTTTTGGTTTCGCTTAACCATCCAAACAAGGTTCGCTATTGCGAGACATACCCATCCCATGGCCAAGAAAATGCCAAGGACAGAACGGAAGCCAGAGCACAAGTCGATTTCCCAACAGGCGAAAAACCTGCCTCGCTTGGAGATCTGAGTTTTTTTGCAGGGTCCCCCAAAAGCAACCCTACAACACCTCTAACCCCCCATCCTCAAACCACCCCTCAACCCCACGCGGCCCAGGTCGCGCTCCAGACGCCGGGGCGGCGGTTCGCTGCAGGCCGCTTCGAGATCGCAAAAACCCACCGGCCCCGATGGGGATGCTTCGGTTCTTGCTGGCTCTCAAGCCAGCTCAGCCTTTTAATGCGCGGCGGGCCAATCTCTTAAGGCGACAAAGGTGGGGCCTCCAGGAATGCGAGGATCACCAAATTGCTTCGAGGGGGATCCCTAGGCTGATTCCGTCCCTTGGCTATTTCCTAGTCTTGCAGTTGAGGCAAGCCGTATCAAGGCCTTTGGCTCGAAAGAGACAAGGCGTTCAATGGAATCCCACTCCGGCACCCACAAGAGGCCCACTTTCCACCATGCCGTTTGTGCCAAGGCGAGTCCTGATCGGAGATCTGTTGGAAACCCCAGCTGAATGCTGGAGTGCCCTGTTTTATGCAAGTCCTTGGATACGCACTCCACATCTTCCCATGGATCTGATGCGAAGCTGAGCCCCAGGCCACAACTTTCCGATGGCAAAGCGCCATCGTCGTCCAAGTGCCGGGCGAACTTGAAGCCCAAGATTCACATTTTGTTCTGTTCGCTTTTTTGCTTGGGATCGATCACTTGAGGTCCGGATTGGATCGCCTTCCGTCTTTTGGTTTTCCTCAAGCTTGGCTTGTTTCAAAGGCTGGGGTCATGCGCAGGACGAGCTGCGTGCGGACCGGGGGGACGAACCAGAACCTTCGCCCCGGCGGGAGGAGGCCGCCGCGTGCTGGAAAAGGGTCTTGTCACATTGGCTTGTGGCGAGTGGTCGATTTGCTTGCCCCACTCTGAAGTGGTCAAAACTGGTGTGTGAAGCGCCCGGAAAACTTAAGCATCGCAATTCTAATTAGACATGCAGGTCTTGAGCAAACAAGCACACATGTTCGGGATCTTCCATCTTGCTTTTTGTTAAGGTGATTGTTCATGTTGACGACATACTCGTGGCTGGTGCTTTTATTGCTCTGGGTGAAAAACTCCGTTGGCGCCAGCTAAAACTCCGCCGCCCTACCCGCAGGCGCCGCCTCCGGCAGATGCACCGCCAGAGGAACCCAAGCGGAAGCGATCGCGCTGGGGCGAGGAGGGCTGTGCGAGCCGGGAACGGGGGGAGGGGGGGAACGGGGGCTGTTTTGATTGAGCTCCTTTGCTGTTGGTTCTCACCCACTTTGGTTCTCATGGGGAGTCTACACTTTTTAATTTTCCTGAGGGGGTCGAAAGGCAAAACGGCAGGGCGGCTGGCAGGGTTTCGGGATGAGGAACCCCGTGACTTGCTCTAAGATTTGAATCGGGCACCAGGTTTCGTGGGAGAGACATGTCATCATTCAACAAGGGCACATTCGCCTGAGGGAAAGAAATTAAGGTCAAAAGGCAATGACTAATGATTCATGGTACATGAGTCCATGAGCATAAGTTTGCTTGACCTGACATCTGGGCAAATGGCGGCTGCCTTGTTGAAAAGATTCGAACGTATCCCGTTCCTTTGGCCCGTCCAGCTGTGTGGTTTGATGGTCAAGGCTTAGGTTTTTCGGGGTACTTGGGCGAATCTACTGCGGCCACCGATTTACAGCAAGGCACACCATTGGTTTCTGCTATTGTCCGGCTGCAAGGCAACAGCTGCCGAAACTGGTCGGGTTGCTGGCTCAAAAGGATGCGGGTTGGCCATGACATTTGGTGGAGTACTAGGTGAATCAGGTCATGTTTGGATGTATCGATCAGAACCGTAGGTCCAAAGGTGAAGCTGCTTTTCGCATGGAAACACACTTCTGCGCATTAATCTGTTGTACCCAAGGAAGCCACCTCCTGCCCAAACCCAAGACCCCTAGCAGAATATGACTATGTCTTGGCTTTGTTCAACTGGCGTGCAGAGCATAATGACACCGCATTTGCTCCGGCATAGACGTGTCCGCTTGTACGTGCGTGCGCCCGCGCGTGCAGGTGAACGGGTGGGCGGTGTGCGTGCGGGTGTACGTGCGGGCATGCGGGCGGGAGCGCGGGTTTGCGCGCGGGTGTACGTACGGGCGTATGGGCGTGCAGGCGCGCGTACAGGCATGCGTACGGGCGTACAGGCGTATATGTACATCCGCCCGCCCGCAAAATAAGGCCTTATTGTTCTGGCCACGCGCTTGCGCACACCCGTCCGCCCACCCGCGCGTGTTTCCGTACACACGCACGCGCGTGCGTCCGTACGTCCGCGCGCATGTCCGTACACACGTCCGTACGCCGCCCGTGCTCCGTGCCAAGTTTGTACACACGTTCGTACGCCGGCCGTGCGTCCGCGTGCTTGTCCGTACATACGTCCGTACGCACGTGCCTCCCGCCCGCGCGGTCACCCGTACAGGGTTTGATCCATTATATGAGCATGCGTATTGAATCTAGCCAAACTATGTCGATGAGGAGATGCAAACAATGTCCAACGAGCTCACAAATGAATGCACGCCCATTTGGCTTTGAGGTCTTGGCTGGGCTGAATCAACATGCTGGTTCACGGCTTCCGACGTTCAATCTGTGGCTCATTTGGGGAGAACATGGGAGGGAGTTTGCTCTGACTTTCCAAATCATCCCACTAGAGGGGGTAAGTCAAATAGGCTGCTGCATATACGGCCAGCCCTGCATTCAACTTGTGCTTATTTTGGACATCATATGTTCGGGCCAACTTAAAAAGGAAGTTCCTCTAGGTCGGGGTGATGGGTTTATATGCGCGACAAAAGCAGCTGACGGTCTATGGCGACAAAGTGACTATGATTGTTTAATAGGGAATCAAATGTGGTTGGTGGACATGAATCCCCGCCTGAAAGGATGTCCAAAAAAGTGCCCCCACTTAAAATTCCACACCCACGTGTCTGTCATCCCTTGTATTTTCCTTTGGCTCCGAGACTCTTGCGTGATTTTTTGCAACCTGCGCCCACTTGGCAGACATGTTTAGTTGCAGCCGGTTCGACTGCCTGTCATTTCCGGCTGGCAGGCCAACCTGGGGTTCTTGATGGGATGCCAGACCCTGGGGTGCTTGGTAATTAGTTCAAGGGTGGCTTACCATAGCTTTCGCGAATCTCAGCGGCTGGTTTCTGAGCATGTGGTCCGTTTCGGAATGCTCGTCGGAATGGGCAACCAACACTTTGGCACTTTGGGTTGGTTACGAATCCGAAGCCACGGAAGCGCGCCTGTTGGAAGAAAAACGGCTCCTGGTCTGACAAGAGCATGTCGGTTGCTTTGTGGGAATAGTGACCCCAGAAAAAGGTCAACCAAACACAAACAAATGGGTCAAGGCCACAAAAAAAAAAACGGGTCGACTCTACAAATGATCAACACCCAGTTTGAGGCAGTTCCCTCTCTCCAGCGAAGTCACTGGTTGGGGAAGCGGTATGGACTGCCAGGAGGATCCCCTGGCTGCTGCAGGCACCATGGAGCGTGGGGATTGGTGCGGTTTGGGGTTCGTCACCCACCGGACGTTAAGTTTTCCCATGATTACTCCCCTACCAATGCAACATGGAACCCCTACCAGGGTATCGAACAATTCCCACAAGGAGCTTCCGATCCAAACCCACGGCTCGGTTTAGGGTCTTGGGCTCCTTCCTTTCCACTTGCTTCAGAATGCTTGATTTTCCCTTGTTGGTTCTGTCGGGATAGAATTGCTGAACAGATTTTCTTTTTTTCGGGGCGCTCAAAAAGAAGCAAATGGAAGAAACAGATCCACGAAAAAACCGCTCCCCTCCGGATCCGAGCTCGTCGTGTCGGTCGTGTGCCGGAGGCATCCCGGAGTGGCTCCGGGACCAGTTCGCCGTGCCGAAGATCCCCCCGGAGCCGGTGGTCCGGGCGGGCCAGCGGAAGGTGAAGGCGGAGCCGTCGGGGCGATAAGCGGGGCCGGGGCAGTTTTTTTGGGCGTTTTGCCGGGGGGGGGGGGGGGTTGGGGTTGGGTTTGGCGGCTGGGCGCCCCAAAAAGGCCAACCTGGAACCCCAGGTAGCCACTTCTTTCCAGCCACTTTACCCACTAGTAGCCCATCATCTGGTCAAAAGTAGCTGGAAAATAACGGCAACCGGGGATCTAGGAATCTTCTAAAAATATAAGCGAAAGTGGTTGCACCAGCTGCGGACCTTTCTCAGGTTAAGGCCCATCTTGGGGGAGAGTGCCGAACCCTAGCATCATTGAGAGGCTGAATGCAAAAAGCGAGGCTAGATTTGATCCTAGATCCTTTCTCTAGCGAACCGGCAGCCGCTTAGCTTTTCACTCAAAAGCTCCAGAAGAAACTGCAGCTTGTTCAGCTAGGACACTATCGTGCTCCTTTTGCGCAACGAAGCATGTTCTTTGCTGGGTGATTCATCCAATGGCCAATCAATCTGTTTTGCGCCTCTATTCTGTAGGTCTCACAAGGGAAATCCTCTGGAGCAAAGGTCCGGCCGACTGGATACAGTCAGAATATCACGGCCATCTATACACTGGATACATTGTGTGGACCTATGCTCTTTGCTTAAACCGCTGCAAGGAAATCATTTGGGTGTCTTTTTTTGAAGCTACCCAAACCCAAAAGGACAACTCACCATTTTAGGGGCTTCCCCTAAGAAGAAGACGCAGCCGTTTATTCTGATGTGTAACAATGCTGTTTGAGCGATCAACATCTCCCTCAGCACCACGAATCGGATCCGCCCATTCCACTTCCAGGTGCCCCAGCATTGCGTGGGCAGGCGGGCACCCGGCTTGGTTCGAGGTCTACCCGCTTGGGTTTCTTGGTTTTGTGTGCGATGCAACTTTTGCTTGCGGGCGTCTAGTGTCAACCTTTGATTTGAAAGCCTCCCTCCTCCCGCCCCCGCAAACAAAATCCCTCAAAGCAGTTTTGTGTGTGTGTGTGAACCCTCTTTTGTGGCAGCCCGGCCAAGCAGGACAACTTGATTCTGGGGGACCCTCTGCAGACAAAAGAGGATGTCAGCGAGAATGTTAAACGGGCCTCGCTGTCATGGAAAGCACTACAGGCAATTGACATTGGCTTGAGCATGTTCTGGGTGCAAAATTGCTATGTGTAAAACAACAAACAACTGCAAGGAAACCCAAAGTGCGCGTTGCTTCTTTTTCCAGCCCACTCAGTATTCCAAAATGTTGGAGGGTTCCCAGTTTGTTTTTGCTTTGTGTCGCCCTGGAGCAATGGACCTGAAGTGGCGAAATTTCGGTGGAATCACATGCAGGATTGTCTCTGTGCGTGTTGCTCAGGATAAGCCAAAACCCGGAGCGAAGGAACACCGTCAAATTGTGAGCTCTGGGGATTTAAGCTCACCCGTCATCAGCGTTCTGAAGTCCCTGCGTGTCCAGTGCGCATGTTCGATTCGAGTTTGGGCCAATGGTTCCTGCCGGTTCTGGTGAATCTGTCAGTAGGTGAACCAGCCAAGTGACTTTGTGTGGGCTGCTTCGATTGCTTAGATCACTTTGCTTGTGGCATGTGCACAGCAAACAAGCGTTTCACCTGTACTGCCAATGCAAACTTGACCAAAATGGCCCGAATTCCAAAGGAAACATGTAAGCGTTGACAGTCTGACATCCAGCCTCTGATCTGGAGTCAGCAAACGGCACAACATGAAGTTGCTGTGGCAATGAGGCTTGAGCACATGTCTTTTGTTCAACCTCCGAGTCGGGCAAACATGTCAAACGCCATTGCTTTGGCACTGTCATTCTATCCGGACATGCCCATCTACTCCAAGAGCTCCGTTTTGCGCAAATCAACTGTAGTCCTCAACAGTTATATAATACGTAGTGCCAGTTTTCCAGAGAGGACCAAGATGTCCTGATTGGCCAATGTTTGTTACCTAAGGGGACTCAGCACGAAACAGAAAGGGTTTCTAAGTACCAGCCTGCTGCATTCCAGCCAACGCCTCTTGCCTTTATGGGGAACCAAACAGTGTCGCAGCTGTACGACAACCTTGTCAAGTAATCATGTAAGACCACGCTGTTTGGACAGGAAATGACCATTGCTGAAAAAGCCTGAAACCTGCGCCTCATGTTGATCACTCTTGGAGATTGTGGATGGTCATTGCCTAAGGCCCCATCACCAAGGCCCTCAACTTTCAGGGGCAGATGGGACGCCTGATCGTGGCGACACGCATGAGCTGAGGGGATCCCAAGCAGAATACACGCCAAAATCAGACCAAGTCAATGGGGCACTAGCCGTTTGACGGGGGGGGTGGGGGTTGATGCTCAGGTGGTTTGACTCTAAAGATTTATTTTCTTCAGCTTCCTGTCCTTCGGGCCTTGGTTGAGAGGATGCAAGTAGATCGCAGACAACTGCGACCAGTTTCGAAGACTCATTCGCCGGCGGGTAGTAGCACCACAACGGTTTCCACACCCCCCAAACCAAATCCTATTTTCGTGGCTGTCGCTTGTCGGGTCTGGCTTTGTTCTTGCAGAATCCTCGGGAAGATGGGAGCCACGATCAACGAGATCCAGGAGGCTTCGAACACGGACATCAAGATGAACCAGGACGGGAATTGTCATATGTTTCTGTAGTTAGTCTTCAAACATCACCCAAAAGCAGAGGCTCTTTCCCAATGGCTATGGATTTCAACTGGGAACCACAGCCAAAGTGGTTGGTGGACATGGACCAAACTGACGTCCCCCAAAGGGTGTTCAATAGAAAACATGCACCCAAATTACCAGTTTGTGTACACGCATGAAATTCGAGAAGCCGCGAGGACACCAAGGAAGCTGGATACAGCTACGTGCCCTCCTCAGCATTGACTTGAAGCTGGGGACTGGATTCAGAGCAGGGAAGCGCATGCTGCCGCCCTTCCAGTGCATCGGTCTCGTTCTGATTTCCCTTCAATCCAAGACTACTGCTACTGCTACTGCTGCGGCTGCTTTGCTCCTCCTTCTACTACTACTACTACTCCTACTCCTCGTCCCACTCCTACGGCCACTACTACTACTACTACTACTGCTGCTGCTGCTGCTGCTACTACTACTGCTACCACTACCACTACCACTACCACTACCACTACTACTTCTATATAATTACTCCTACTACTACTGCTGCTACGACTACAGCTACTACGACTACTGCTGCTGCTGCTGCTGCTGCTGCTGCGACCACCACCCCTACCACCACTCCCGCCCCCACCGCCACCGCCACCGCCACCGTGTCTTTTGGGTGTTTTCCGACTTGTTCGCGTTTGAAGCTTGCTTGCTTGCTTGCTTGCTTGCTTGCTTGCTTGCTTGCTTGCTTGCTTGCTTGCTTGCTTGCTTGCTTGCTTGCTTGCTTGCTTGCTTGCTTGCTTGCTTGCTTGCTTGCTTGCTTGCTTGCTTTGCTTGCTTGCTTGCTTGCTTGCTTGCTTGCTTGCTTGCTTGCTTGCTTGCTTGCTTGCTTGCTTGCTTGCTTGCTTGCTTGCTTGCTTTGCTTGCTTGCTTGCGTGCGTGCGTGCGTGCGTGTGCGTGCGTGCTTGCTTGCTTGCTTGCTTGCTTGCTTGCTTGATCGCGTGTTGAATTGTTTGCTTTGTTTCTTTGCTTATTGTGGTTTGGTTTGGCTTGGCTCGACGCTCATGTATTTGGTCCTTGTTTGTTTTGTTTTGTTTGTTTGTTTTGTTTGTTTGTGTGTTTGTTTGTTTGTTTGCAAGTGTGTATGTGTGTTTGTTTGAAAGTAAGTATGTTTGTTCGTTCGTTTGGCGGCTCGTGTGTTCGTGTGCTTGTTCGTCGTTTGTGTGTCTATGAGGTGTGTACAAGCTATAAATTCATACACATGTACATGTTGTTTCTATAAATGTGTGGTTTGTTTGGTTTTGTTTGCTGGGACTGAGTAAGGGAATTTGTAGGGCACGATCCTGCTATATCATGATCGCGCATGTTCGATTGTACTCCATTTGCCCATGTTGCACAGGCGTGAGATATTCAGACAGCCGTCCACCCTGACGGAGTGCTCTAAAACATGAAGAACATTGGTGCGTGCGTGTTCCGAAACTTCCATTTGCTTACGAATTTGATTGTTTTCCTTTGCTGGCGTAAAGGGAATCTATCACTCTATTTTTTGTGACAGGGGACTTCGGGAAATGGAGGAAAATATGGGGTGGACCCAATTGTTCAGCACTTGGTGACTGCTTTGCCATGATCAAAGACCAGCTGCTGATTGGAATTGTGATTTGCCATTCGGTTCATGGTAATGGAGAGCAATGTGCAGGAACACCTGGCCATATCCCAACAGAGTGCTGACTACACTCAGCTGAGGCCATTGTCACGAGCATCAAGAACGTGGAAGGGGACCTCGACACGGCAGAGCGCCTCATCAACGAGAAGATTGCAGGTGTGGAGATGGCTGATACGTTGTTTTCATTGAGACGGTGATGGAGATTCACGAGGATAAAAGGCACTGCCACCCATGGGGTTGATTCATGCTTCGTTTGGTGCTTTGAGATCAGACTCTTCATTTCGCGGCCGCGGAGATGCGCCCATTCTAAGCACGTACACTAGGAGTCACTAGGAGCATGAAGCTGTGGTTCTTTCTTCTCTTCTTTTTCTCTGCATGCGTTTTGCCGGCAAGCACTCTGAGCTTGTGGGAGTGCCTGAGATCTCCTCCTTGGATCCGAGTTCCTGGGAGCTTTGTCTCTGAGCATAGGGAGACCCGCAAAAGCGGCTCTGCATGTAGCTCCCTGGCAACATGATGCACATACATTCCCATGTAAATGATATCCACCACCAGGTCCAGATGTTTCCTCTTTTTTTTGTTTGTTTTTGTTTCTTCTTTGTTTCTTGTTTCTCGGAGTCTTCTTTTTTGGAGCTCCCCTCAAAGGGCCTTCCCCTCAAACATGTGCCCCGCACAGGCGGTCCCAAGGGCGGTATGGGCGGCGGCATGGGCGGCGGCATGGGCGGCGGCCGGGGCCCCGGAAATGGCTGCGGTGGTCTTTTAGTTTCCCTTGAAGGCCATGGCCACCAAACAAAAAGGGTACCCTCAAGAAGGACACGGCCAGTTGTGACTTTGGATGGGTATGATGGGTCCATGTTGCGGACTTTCGACTTGCCCCGTTCGACACTTTAGCCGTTGAGAAACTGCGTGTTTCCCTGCTGGCCAAGAGTGGGAACGTTTGCAGTGGTTCACAGAACCAATCCACATATATTGTGTTTGTGTTGCGGGGGAAAAAAGGCGCAAACGATGGCCGGGGATGTTGGCTATTTTCGGGGTGCGCCCTGGTTGGGCTCAGAGGTTTGTTTCTTGCTGGAAGGGACAAGCAGCTTGCCAAGTGAAACTCACTTCCAGATGCTGCAAGAACTTGTGGGTAAGCAAAATCCGGGAAACCGTTCGAGCCGAGTGGAAACTGCTAGCAGGTCTTGACGCCTTTGGATGTTTGGTTTGGTTCTCCAGCGGCAGGTTGTGGACCTGCAGCGGGTCCCTTTGTTTCACGGAAGGCTTGCCCTTTGTTTTGCTTGCGTGGTGACCGAGCCGTGGATTGGATCGTTCGTGGTGAAGCGACCGTCCAGCACGGGAACATTTGGGGACCATCGAGACTTCAGCATAGGAGTTGCTTGTTTGGAAGTCTGATTGCGGGTGCAGGCATTGCAGTTTCGTGTTGTTCCCGCTCCGGAAGAATTGGGATGGGTGGCTGGCTATGGCTGGCATGGCGTGCTAGCGGCTGGCTTTGGAGTCAGACTACGAAGCGTTCGTCAAGCGGTTTGGCTGAAGGCTGTGCAGCCTTCCCGAGCGGTTGCCTCAAGGGTGACTGTCACAGAACTTGCAGTTAAAACCTGGCTATCAAACTGTCCCATTTTGTCTGGCTGTACCAGTTTTGATGATACGCCTCACGCCAGAGAGGCAGTCAGCCAGACAGGCAGACAGGCAGTCAGAAAGTCAGGCAGTGAGTGAGTGAGTGAGGGAGCAAGTGCGCTGGTCGGTCAGTTTGACAGGTCTGTCGCTCAGTTGGTCCATCGGTCATACATGTTTGGCCTCACCTGAAAGCCAAACTGGGCAGAACCTTCACAGTGTGGGCCGCACGCAGACAAAAGCAAAGCAAGCTCGCAGGGTTTGGGCAGACAAAGCTCGGTGACAAGATCACTTGTAGGATGTGCATCAAGACTTAGGGTGTTGGTACTCAAAACGCATCTCTAAGGAGTCTCCTATTACACCCTGGGGTTACACCCTATTGATCTTGCCCCACATACAGCAACATAACCAAGTTGTATTTGGACATACGCCAAGATAGGGTGATTTAGCAGAGGGCCGAATCCCAGGGTGTAATTGGAAACCCCTGGAGCATCTCTCAAGGGAAGCAACAGAGTTTTTGAGCTCTGCATCATAGTGTCTCTCCCCACACCCACACCCCCAAGTACCCTGAACAGGCTCTTGCAAGAATCTTATAAAAAGGGTGCTTCCCTTGGAAATGCATGCCTAAACTTGCTCCGTTGCGGGTGTAGGTGTTCCCGTTGTGTTGTCGACAGCATTGCCTTTTGTGAGGAGCAGTTAGCACAGTGATTTGCAAAGAGAGAGAGAGAGAGAGAAAGAAAGAAAGAAAGAGGAGTTTGTCTCAACATTAGGGAAGCCCTAAAATAGTAGTGGTCCTTCTGGTTTACCTTTAAGACTACCCAACAGCCAAAAGAAGGACAGCGAGAGAGAGGCGCTTGATTAGGCGCGCTTTGTACCTCACTCGTTTGTCAAAACGGCACAGAGGCCAAGAGACACAGAGACACTGTTGCTTGAGGCAAACCATTCCCAGATCCAATGAGCATTGTGTAATTTCGATCCTGAAGGATCCTGAAGACACGTGTCCCCCCCTACAAGAAGAAACAGAGGGCAACCGTGGTGCTTCCCCAGAATTAGCTCCCTTTTTTCATGTTTTTTTGGGCCCTCTTTGTTTTCCACTAACCAGGCAACAAAAAGTAGTTCTCTGCTGGGGGTCCTAATTCACAGCCAAGGGTGGATGAGGTCCGCTTTGGACAAAGAAGGCAAGAAACCCGCTGAACCTGGCCTAAACCTATGTCATTTCTGGTGTTGACTTATTATATATATATATATATACTCCTTCTTGCCGGAGTATCTCCAGGATATTGGCGTGTCTTTTTTGAGGGTACCCGTTTTTGCAGTTGTTAGGGAAATCAAAAGGAACACCAACATTTTGGGTGCTCCTTCCCCCCCCAACAAAAACGAAAGGAAAAAGAAGAGAAACACAGTGAGCAAGCATTTAAACATAGCAAGTACCCGCTGCCCAACGTTCCTTGTTCTTAGGCAACTTCCGGCGGACCCCTGCATCCACCCCGCCCCCCCCAACCACCCCACCCACGCCAGGCATGACCCTGCAGCCGCTCCCAGTGCCTGCCGGCAGCGAGACCAGGGACCGATGCTGTGTTCGACCCGATGGGTTGCTTCGAGTTTTGGTTTGTGTCTCAAACAGAACAGGACTTAAAAAATTGGCTTCGGGGCTCCGGGTTCCGGCCGGGTTTTCCAGAAAGACCAAGCCCAAAAAGGCCCCCCTCAAAAAAAGAGACACTCATACATGGGTGTCGTCTGCCGAGAAGCAACGCGCCATTCCTTCACCATGTTCTCTCCGACGACAGCTGCGGAGTGACGCAGTTACGACCTGTGACAAACCAGACTTGATCTTCGAGGCCCGTGGCCCAACGGACCGACGGTGACAGACCGATTCAAAAGTTCGGCTCAACTTCAGCAGCCGGGTATGGCTCTCAATGTGAGGTTTTGGGGCGCCGAGAAGACGCCCGCGGCATGTAGAGTCTCCAAGCACTGCGACAGAGTTGGCCCTGACAGCTTTGGCAGTCTCTGACCGTGATAGACGCATGTGACAGGCTCGTTTCAGGCCACTGGCCGGGCCCGGAGTTCCGGTTGAAATCCGGCCTGCTGTGAATGGCTGCTGAACTGCCGTGAGCGCTCGGAGTAACTGAATGACCCTTCGTTGTTTGTTCGATTGGAGTTTTTTTGTGCGGTTCATGAAGAAGACACCATGATGTTTAGCATATACCTTGGTGGTCCATAACCTGATGTTCGCATGTTTCTTGTCCACCAGATGTGCAGGATTTCAAATGCCGCAGGGCTGGTGCCAAACCGAAGCAACAGCCGGTTTCAGTGGGGGCCCCTTTTGACCCAGCGAAAGCGAGCTTGTCAGGGGATCGCTCAGCAGCTGCCAATTTGGGTATGTCTCAAAATGAAGGACCCTCTGAGAGTAGTTGGTTTCGTGTTGGCCTTCCTCTGACCATCTCACAGGTGTTCTCGCATTCTCCTCTTCGTTTCCTTCTTCTTCTTCTTCTTCTTCTTCTTCTTCTTTTTCTGTTTCCTTTTCCTTCTTCTTGTCGCGGCGGTCGAGAATGCCGTCAGTCCAAGGGGTTTCCTCAATAGTTTATTGATTTGCCTTGGATGGTCATTCGTCGCAGGAGATGCGGGTGGACAAGGCACGGGGCAAAGCCAACCACAGAGACCCAGCGACCCAACAGACCCCGCTTTGAGGAACGGACACTTTGCAGGAATGCCCGTCTACATCGTTGGCTACTTTGGAGTGGGTCTTTCCATTGTTGTTTTGCGTGCGCTTTGTTTGCACATGAACTAGGTTGATTCATATGAGATTCCCATTGCTTGGGCAAGCTTCGCTGGCTGCGTATGTGCATGTTGCAAGACGACCCCAGAGCTATTGGTGGAACGTAATGAGTCTCGTGCTGTTTGGGGAACCCCTTTTGGTTCGTTTCAAAGGGAAACCAGAAGGAAACCAACCGTTTGAGTTGTCACTGGAAGTGGAGAGCAGGAGCAGGTGAATTCGCTTATGACGGCTGGGTGTTTCACCACCCTAAGTATCATTGGAGGGGTCTGGATCTCTGTTGGATTGTGGATCTCCAATTTGTTTTGAGGTCCCAAGATTCTTAGGGCGGTTGGTCTTCTTCCAGAACTTGGGCTGGAATCGACTTTGACAGGTCCACGTGGGCGGTCTGATCGGCAAAGGCGGTGAAGTCATTAGGCGCGCTTTTTGGAGAAATTTGCGTGTTGTGTTCGAAGGAACTAAAGCAGCTTTTTGCAGGGATTTGCGAGTTTGTTTTCGGGGAAACCTCGAAGAAACCAGGGAAACTTGCTGCAGGGAGTTGTGCGTTTTCGGGGAAGCCCATGAGATAAAGAACAAGCTGCAAGGAGGGGTTTACGAACCTCGTTGACCGTCTCAAAAGCTTGGCCATCGCCATTGTGAACGGTCGATCGTCGGATAGGTTCATTTTACTGGTGACTTGCGAGGCAGAAGCAAGCCAAAAAAAGTCTTGTATCTCTCGTTAAACCAGTTAGGCCCCTTTTTGGCCCAATTCAATGGAGATCATGACATCATCGCGTGAGTCTGTTCCTGGCCTCGGCACTTCAACTCCTATGGGTCAACGTCATGTTTCCGGCCTCACAGGTGAAGACATGCAATTAGGCTCCACGACGAAGCGTGGCTTCCAGTTAGATGTCAATTGGCGAGGAACGATATGCTCAGCACTGACCTGGTTGCTGTGTTCTGTATTGCCAGCCCCCAAGAATGTCTCTGGGCAGCTATAGCGAGGTTAGTACGTACGTTGCCACGTCACTCAAAGTGAAGATTCCTTCTTGACCCCTTATTTTTGGTGGTGAATCATTCTAGTTTGCCCAGGTGTAGTACCCTTGCTGGAAGGGAAGGCTATGCATGCCCCCTCTTGCAAATAGCAGGTGCGTCGTGAATTATGCTAGATGATTCCCACGTTCGGAAGACCGCTTGACCCAACTGAGTGGTGAAACGGCACTGTCCTTCTCGCTGATGCTCAGTTGCTTGCAACGAAAGAACAGGGGTCACGCTTCCCAAACCATTGGCAATGAATTGAATACGCTTTCAGCATGACATCCCAGCATTGAGCTCAGGCCAAACGCAAGCGTTCTGCAGGTTAGCAGTCCTTCGTGTTTCTTTTCCCTATGGGCAAGTAGAAAGTAGGAGCCCTCACACAACGTCATAGCTTGATTTGCTTTCAGCTGTGCTGGCTCATGGTTTGAGGAGGTCGCACCATGATTACCCAGCCCCAATTTGTTGCAACTTTGGCGCATTTGTTAAAGTAATGATAGATGAAGAGAGCCGGGAATCCAGCCTTTTGAATACCAGTTGTCCCCTTTGTCCCTTGAGGCTTCCTTGCAAAAGGCTCTCCTTGCCTGCTTTCCGGGCGTTTTCCTCTGAATCGGCCGGGCGCGTGGTTTGTGTTTCTTTACGTTGGTCCGACTGCGGTGTTCCTCAAGCCCGGCTTCCGTGCCATTGCAAGGCAGATGACTTCAGAAGCAGGCTGCCAGATTCAAATCGCCTGAGGCTCAAAGTGGGTGTGTGTTTTTCTTTTCTGTTTTTAAGTTGGACCCTCAAAATGGTTGGCTTCCCTTGCGAGCCATTCATAAGGGTTCCCTCAAAAAAGACACAGTGCACGAATCGATGACTTGTTTCTTAGTCTTCTCCCGGATGAACCGGTGGATCTGTCTTTGGCAGATTTGACTTGTGCTCCAGAGCTTGTAGCATGAAGCGCCTGAAGATTTTCTCAAACACTCAGGCCACAGTTAGTCCGGAGACGTTGGAAAATCCAAACTTGTGCATATGTGTGTTTTGTTTTAGGCTACCCCTTTTTCGTGGTTTTAAAGGAGATGCCAATCCGAACACCACTTGTTCTTTTGGGCATCCGTATGGAAACCGCAGGGAATTCACCACAACCAAAGGCAACAGCGTCCCTTCGGTCAGGCAGTGGGTGTCAACCGCTTGCTTCAGGCCCAGTAGGGAAATCCCTCCTGACCCGGTTCAGAGCCTTCAAAACTTGTGAACCCCTGCCTTTTGTAGAGGGAAGCTGAGTTCTTGTGTGATGTGGTTGGGGCAGAACTGTTGGTTACCCTTGCAGCACATCACTGGCATGAGGATCAGACCAGCGGCGGCGAGCAGGCGATGGCTGCTCAGATGCAAGCGGAAGTTTTTGTATTTCCGTGGTCCCGGAATAGCCGTGCTTTCTCCATTCTGATCAGGAATGTTTCTCAACAAAAATCGCCAAACCCTAACAAAATGGGCGTCTTCGTCTGAAGAGAATGGGGAATTTGAATGCTCGGAACTCTCACAATAGGCAGTACTTGAAACTCAGGGATCGACGAGATCCACGTTACCATCAGAGTAGGCTGAAACCAAGAGCTGGCAACATGATACCATGAAGTCTTGCTGTCTATGCGGGTCTGTTGTTTTTGAGCTGTACTTTGTGGGCTGGTTTAGGAGAAGCAAAAGGACAACCGAAGCCATACAGCGGGAGACGGGATGTTCCCATCTCCCGAATCTTTTCCATCACATCCCCAGGAAAACTGGCCTAAGGGCTTTACCTAAAGGGTTCAAGAAAGACGTGGCGAAGCTCTGGCGAAGCTCTGGCAAAGCCCTGGAAATCCCAGGTCAGCCCACTCCATGGGATCCTGAAGCAAAGCGGCGAGTTCCGAGCAAGTTCTCCAAGTTGGTACAAGTTTCTATGAGTCAATGAGCAGTTGAACCAGTTCTTTACAGAGCTGACCACAGCGATCCGGACATCCGGACCTGCGAAAGTGTACTTCCGCACTACGTTCGTAGTTAAAGGTTGCGATCTGCCAGCCGGAGCCTTCTGAGAGTGTACTGCGCGTACTACTTTTGTTGTTCAACTTGCCATTTTCCTGCCGGAGCTGCGCAAGTGTACTTCACGTACGGCTTGCGTACTTAAAAGTTGCGATTGCCGGAGCTGCCAAAGTGCACTGCGCGGCTTGTTTTCCCGCTACTGGCTTTCCAACTTAGCCCCGGAGACCAACAAGGATTCGAGCCTCGGGAGCTGCTTGCTTCCAAGCGGGCGCGCATCTGACTCGCATCTGCGATCCGTGCCAAGCCGCTGAGGTTCACGCGCGCGCGCATGTTCGAAGACCTAAGTTTTTTCACATCGACCACGCCGATCCCCGCAACTCGCTAGTGCCACTTGCTAGTGAGACTTGCTGGTGTAATCCGCTTCAGGTTTTACCTGAAGAGCCCTTCGCCCACGAAGGGATGAGGGAGTAATACAGGCTCGAGAAGGCATATGATGGTATGACAGATGATGAAGTGAACAGGATTCTATGTAGACGAGAGATGGTAGGAAGCGAGACCAGGAATCCATCATTCATCATCCCAGCCTGTCCTTATCCTATCTATATCCATGTTTCGGGAACGGAAGACACGAGCCGCCCGGCCCAATCGAGCTAAGCCGGCGGAACCCGTCCAAGGTGATCCTGGGCCCCGGTTCCGCAGAGCAAATTCAGAAGGCGGAGGACCTCATCCACGCCGCGGGCTCGGAGTTTTTTGCGCGGCTGGGGATGCGGAATGGGCGGCTGATGCGGGATTGCTGGGGCGCAGGATCGGGGCAACGGTTTTTTAAGTGAATTGCGTGGTAAGAAAGGGGGTTTGGATGTTCTGAAATCCGAGATTCCGAAGATTGAAGGTTGTTGTTTGGAATTGCAGATAGCTGCGAAGATTGAAATGGCCCCCATGTGATCTGCAGTGTGACTTTGGGGGGTCTGTAGGAGATGAACAAGTCCAAGATTTGTGTTTTCTGGGTTTTCTGGCTAAGCATCGAGTTGTTGCAGGTGACCCCTATTGGTGTTTTGGATTGGTGCGGATTTTAACCCCTGGATAACCATCCTCAACCTCCAAACCACCAATCCACCCATTAGAGGGAAGCCACCAGTTCTCCATCAGCCACCAGTTCGGCGCCCCGTGTTCGGCCGGAGCTCGCCGGGGGGTTGACAAGAAAGGATAAGTTCAGACACGGGGAGCGGGTTGGAAGGGCTTGGCGGCCCTTTTCCATGGCCGAAAAGGAGTGGCCCATGTCAACTAAACATTTTGGCGTGTCATGCTTTTGATGGTACCCGTTTTGGGATGGTTTTCAAGGGGAACACCAGGCAAACCAATTTGTAGGGACGGTGTTTGGCGCTTTGACGGCAAAAGGGATGCCCACCCTTAGCGGTCTGGAAATACCCCGAGCAATGCACGTGTTTCCCTGACGAGTTCCAGATCAATCGTCGGTTTGCCAGGCTACTGACCAATCGGGTTATGAAGATCCTGTATCTGAAGGGTCTTACTGAAATCCGCAGTGGGCATAAATCATGGCTCGCTTGAGGGTAGCGCGCTTTGGGTAGGGTGTCGTTCGAGGTTCAGATTCACAATCACCGCAGAAGATTTGATCTCCACGCGACTTACAGCTACCCAACTCAAACTGGGGGCCTCGAATTCGCCTTGCAAGTCTTCTGGGTGTTCCTTCGCAATGGCAGCCGGCAGGCGTTCGTTCCTCTGTCTGGTCTCTAACTTGAATATCTTGTCTGGTCTCGTGGTATCTCTTCTAGATGAACCCGCAGAAGGCAGAGGCAGAACACGGACGGGGATCCGTTTGGAACCTGCAGCTTGAGCCACTTTTGGTCAGCATCAAACCCTGCATGGTTACTAAGCATAAAGAGAGTTGGGATCACCTCAGAAGTGGTGTACACAAATCCCCATGTCCACCCTTTCGTCCCCAATTAATTAAACCCATTGCCCACATCCTTTGTGTTTTCATCTGTGTTTCCACTTGTCCTTCGGATCCATGGGCCTCTTTATGAAAAAGAATCCCACGGGCAAGCCCAGCGCGTTGCGCGATCCGAACGCGGGCGTTGCGCGCCAAGGCAAAGATTGCCGAGAAGAGTTACGGCAAGGCGCGACGTTCCTGGCGATTTGTGGGAATGTCTCAGGACCCTAGTAATCTGGGCTGGGTCCGGGGCCCGCTTAGCGACATTCCTCGGACTTTTTTGCTGAAGCTATTGCATCGCCGACTTCAACGTTTCCGAGGGTGACATTCGCACAAAGGGGCATGGCCCTATGAGAAGCTACCGCTTCACTGAGTGCTTCGCGAGGCGAAAACGGGTGTCTGCTACGCGAAAACATTGCCCTTCCCCTGTTCCATGTTCCTGTGCAGAGAGTCACGCCACGACTGCTTGCTTGTGCCTCATAGGCTTACTTAAATAAGCCTTTGACCTTGGGTTGTCCTGGGAGTCAGCATGAGAAAATGGTTTGTCCAGTTGTTGGCGTCCTTTTGGTTTCCCTTTAAACCCATCCAAGGGGTTGCCCTATTCTGAGACAGACCCATGCGGCGCGCCGCCCAAGCCGAGCCCCCCTTCCTTTATTTTGTTCTCAAAATCACACAATCTAGAATGCCGAAGAGTTTGGAGCAATACAGTTCATAGCGGTTGTAAATATTGGTTGATGCAGACGAGCATGCCAAAGAAGTTCTTATTTTCAACCAAACTTAGGTGTTTGAAGAAAAAATACAGAATCTTTGGTGACATCCATGATGAGGCAATGGAGTAACGTCACGGATTAACATAACGCTAAGCAATGTATTTGGGCGCGCCCTTTTTTTTCATGCCGCACTGAGCGAACCGACAAGTTCAAAATCGCGCGAAGGCATGGCCACGGCACTTCTCGCGTGTTCGCCTATTTGGTTCATTCCCTGGATGTGCACTTTTCTGCACCAAGTGAATGTTTTTTTAATGGGACAAACCAGCATTCAACTGCCGGCGGATTTCGTCGGAGATTCTGCCGCAGGGCGGCGGCGGCGGCGGCGGTCCGAGGCCAGGGACGCAGTTTGACCATCCAATGTGTAGGCAATGCGTCCGATTTCTCCATGGGTTCAAAGGGAACTTTGTGGGCGTGGCCTGTAAATTCTGGCCAAGCATGGCTGGGCTATATTGCATATCAATCATATTTAGACAAGGATTAGAATGTGCAAACGTTATTGGGATTGTTATGATTATGTGTTTGTTGTTATGTGATGTTTTTGTTTTATTATTATTACTATTATCATGATTGGTATTAGTTTTGCTGTTTATCATCAATATTGCTATTATTATACTATATTAATATCAGTAAACATTAGTATCATAATGGTTGCTATCACTTTTATTGTTAGAATAATTGTTATTGTTATGGTCATGCTTATACTGTGTATTCTTATGCTTATCATGATCATTATCATTGTTATTTGCTTTTGAGTTGTGCAAAACCTGAGGTGGATGGATTCCACTGGTTCAGTTCCTCCACATCGGCTTTGGGCTATGTCCAGGGCTCACCCCGGCGTTCTCAGAAACCCCAAGTTGACACTCAGATCCAACTCAGTTTCTTTTTTGGGGGAGGGTTCCGGTCTACGCAAATAGACTACAGGAAAAAAAACGGGTACCAACTTATTCTAACCTCTCTACTGGAGGACCTAGCCAAAGAAGCCACCCTCCCAGCATGGAGCTTGAGGTTAGCTTGACGAACGGCTAGAGATCCCACCTCGCACCTGACTGATGACCAGAGGTTTGGAACTTGACAAACGGCTGCCTGGATCCCTGGCACTTGACTAGAGATTCCTGGAATTCTGGGAGGAGCTACTTTTCGGAGAAGGCCAGCGAGCCCCTTCACACGACCCTTTTTGGGATCAAAAACTTTTAGAGGCACACAATTCTGTTGATGGACGAAATCCTGCACCACCCAAGAAACCCCGGTTTCTGATGATTCGCCTGGTTTCAAAGTGGTGCAGGACTTTTTCCATCCACAGTATCACCAGGCTGAACAAGAGAGCTGAAATTTTCACCTCACGAGTATTCCTTGGCTCAGGTTCTCTTCGGGCTTCATTCAACTTCAAGGGTGCCTGCCACCCCGATTCCATGGTTTTTGCGGGAATTCTTCTTCGGTGTGTGCATGATTTGGCGAATCGCAAGCAGACTTTCCCATATTTGTTGAGTGGAAGGAAACCCGTAGCTCGAATTCAAGTGGGTGGCTGCGAATTTCCCATCCAACCACCTGGGTCGTGAGAACACCCAACAAGTTGTGGTTTTGGTTTTGGCTCTCCTTTAAGTCCACCAAGAAAAGGAGGGAAAAAAGGAACCAACTTCAAAAGGAGACCGTGTCCCCTGGCAAAAGCGGCACCGGCCCCCGTCGCTTTACAGCGCAGATTCGAGTAGGCCGGGCATGCCGATGGGCATGGGCTACGGTGGCAAGCCCATGAACAGCGTTCCGCCGCCGCCGATGGGCAAAGGCCGGATGGGATGGGCCTGATGGGGAGGGTTGGCTGTTTTATTCTGAGTGATGTTTTTTTTTTTGTGTAGTCGGGTTTAGCACGGATCAATGGGATCGGTCTACATGGGATGGGTCTACATGGGATGGGTCTACATGGGATGGGTCTGATTTTTGTGGGTTCCAGGTGGTCGGTTTCAGACGAAGGCGGCGAAGGAGCTGGCAGGAAAGTGCCAGGGATGATACTGGATGGCTGGTTGAAGCTCATCCTTTCAGCAGCTTTGCACTTTTCTTGGGAGCTGCTCTCAGAGAGAGGGAGCCGCACATTTCGAGAGCCGTGCCATGCGGTGTTGCTGGTACCTGATCAGTATGTGAGAGTTGATCAATATTCCTGGCCCCAAAATGACCATGGGTAGCTTGCCCATGTGGTGGGGCATATCATCTTTTTGGTGGTTTTCCCCGATGGTCATCCTACGTAAAATACCTTTGGATCAACCCCCATGTTTTTGTATCCCATGTGTCCGTGCACTCAAGAGCCGCTTTGACGTTCCCCTGTTGCAAAGGGAAATGCTGGCGGATGAATGTCTCAACATGATGGCACTGACGGTGAATACAAGGCGCGAGGTCTCAAAAGTGAAGTGGCAGATGTCCTTTTCTGGCGCCGACCACCAATCATAGGTGGCTGCCCCCCAAGAAGATGCTCTTTAAAAGAGGTGCTTCATGTCATACCCATTGCTTCAAACCTGCTTTGGCCAACGAACAGCCAGACCTTGTTCATGGTCTAAACTGAAGCCCCGGACATCCATGCTAGAATGGCAGCACGTTAAAAAGGATCGGTTTCGCACATGATCCACACGTTCCCCGTTTGATTTCCTTCTAGCTCACCCACAAACTCGGCATCAACTGTGTGCGATGTGCGCCGTTCAAAGGCCATCCTGAGCCCTTGTCCACGAAAGTGGGCACCTCTCCCATTTTGAACCATGGTGATGTATGATGCCAGTTGCGGGTCCAATGTGCCGGAACAGGGAAGATAGTACTGACAGCACAGAATCGACTCAGAAAGAGTCACCCGCAAAGCTCTTTTCAAGAACCAGCCGTTTTCCCGGCTTTCCAGAGGTTTTGTGGAAAGAAGGATCCCTGGAAAGAACGGGGAAGCTAGCCCTGGAGTTCTGCTCCGTGGCTATTTTCCCAAAATTGTGCCAAAAGGTCCACTCTGAGGTGAAGGGGGGCGAGAAGGCAACATGGCACCTTCGAGCAGCTATGCCATGCGCCATTTGCAGAAGCTAGCCCTGGAAACTTCCCGCCTTTTTCAAAAATCCAAAAGTGCCTCCCCACGGCCCGCGGACCTGGCGCGCCCTTGCGAGAGGTCTTGGCGGGGGCCTGGGGGGCCTGTCCGGTGTGCCGCGGCCACCCTTGCCGCTGAACCTGAGCCCTGGCCTAGGCG